GTGTGTGTGTGTGTGTGTGTGTGTGTGTGTGTGTCAGTTATCCAAACGAGAAACTAGCTAAATAAATGAATCACATTAGATTTAAACTCGAAATCTGATTGTTAAACTGAGTTTAAGTTTCCTGTAAAGACAGCTGAAGAAGACATTTTGCACTAATTTTAACTGAATATTACAAAAACAATAGCCTTCTCCCTCTAAAAACAGTCATAGACCCTTCAGCTTTATTTTTCTGCTTTTGTTGGTTGGTTGGTTTGCTTTTTGAGTAATTAAACCGACCCAATTAGACAAGTAAACGCACTGACAAAATTCTAATGGTTCTTTGTCTTGGGGTTGTTTTGCGCCTCCACAGAAAGCTCGGCCAAAACAACAAATAATACTGGATAATAGTGACAATTTGGATATAAAATTGAGACATTTATATATTAGAAAAGCAGACGTTATTACAGAAGTGTGTTTGTAATGGGAGGGGAAAAATGTACTCTGGTGTGCAGAACATGCGAACATGTGCAGCACAAAAAAAGGACGTGAGTCAGGCCTCCCAAGAAATGATGTTTAACCGAATATACTAACTGTGTAAGTGGTGATTCCTGTCCTTCTGCTAAATGAACCCTTTGTTCCTGTGCCTGTACAGTCTGTGCGCGCACGCACTCGGCGGCGGGGCGGTGGTACCGGTAGTTGTTCTCCCCTCTTGTTCTCACATGTGCTCCGCCCGCCCCTGAGCTGATTGGGTTCAAATCCACCAGCATCTTGTTCCTCCTCCCCTCACACCAAGGAAACGCCCACCCAGAGGACCGGGAAAGTCACTTCAAAATGAAAAACACGCTGCCTGAAGATCATTCAGCAAGACGCTCGTGTTTGGAGACGATCCTGCCTCCCGCTGAGCCTCATTTAGAAAACATCCTCACAGGTTGTGTTGTTGTTTGACACTTGCATTTAAGACGGACTATTTTCCCCCATCTCTCTTTCTCTTTCCTTGAGCCATYAATAATCTAATCAAGTAGCCTCAGAACCTGCTGAGCGCACTCTCTGGATGCTTTGGGTGAACAGGTGGCGCAAAGCCGCAGCTTCCCTCACTTGTCCTCTTTACGCACTCTGAGCGGACCTTAAGCGTTTAATAGGATACCCAWAGGCGGGCGAGAGGCAGAGCTTTGGGAGTCTTCTTTTGTGGAAGACGCCTGACAGGTGAGCCGAGACGCCCGCGCGGACCGGACAAGGCGACCATGAGCCACCGGACGCAGGAGGAGAAGACCCCGAGCAATCCCGCGGARGAGAAAATCCTCGCGGAGTCCTTGCTCGGTCCGGAGGAGGTCGTCGTCAAGAACTTTTACCACACCAAACGGGTCGGAAACTACCTGATCGGCAGGAAGCTCGGAGAGGGCTCGTTCGCCAAAGTTAGAGAGGGTCTCCATGTTTTGACGCGTGAAAAGGTAAGCAGACTGCGCCACGACTGTGCGTAAAAGCATGAAATGTTGTTCTTTTGTCCCCCTCTTCCTTTCACACAAGTTTTGTGATTTTCTTATTTTTATTTCAAGAAATTTAACCTAAATATGTGAACTTTTCCTAAATATCTGGAAGTGCATTCTGACTTTTACATTTTTGTTTGTTTTTAGACATTTTGTCACTTGCTGGACAATAAATTATATCTATGCTCCCCTAAAAAAAGAAGAGAACTTTTTAAATAATCAGTTTTTATTATGGTTTCAGCTGTCAGTCCGGTTAGTCAGAGAAAGTGTCCGGCTCCTGTTTGCAGAGAGTCTTTGTTGATGATCTCCTGCTGCACCACCAGCTGTTGAGCTCYAGTTTCTCCACAGCGGGGACGCTTTAATGAAAATATTTACATGACTGCGTGAGAACAAAACAGAGATATGTGTCTGTTTGGTTTTTGATGGGTTCCGTGATAACCTTCACGCACTGTGCGTATTTTGGACATCTGCTTTGTCTGCGGGCTGCTGCTGGGTGGTGAGCTCACCTTCTGTGGGCGCGCAGGGCTGTGATAGGAACAGAGGGGGAGATTGTCCGGCCTATGAGGGAGCAGAACCGCTACTTGCATATGAAATCGTGGCGTTGATAAATGGGATTTGGACCTCATTAGGATTCTGCAAGCGCAGGAGGCTTTGATATGGCCACTGGTTGCCTTTGTCTCTCCTCCACTCCAGGTTTTTTTTTTTTTTTTTGGGTAGCAGCCAGGTAATTTGCATCTTTGCAAAAGCAAGCACCTCCCTCTGCCAGCTTGTTTCAACTCGTGAAGTCTACATATATATTTGGGTGGGGGGGGGGGGGACAAAAGAAATACCTGTGAATGAAGAATGTGTCTGAATATCTGGATTCCCTTCTTTCTGCTGTTAAAGAAAGGGGGACAAAAAGAGTCCTCTCCCTCTCTCCCCCCTTCTTTCCTCACAGCCTTTGTTTGAGGATGATGCAAACAGTGGCAACCCCACAGCCAAGCACATCTCTCATACAGGCGTCCAACAGGCGCTGGGAGGGAGCTCAGGGCAGTGGGTTCATTCAGGCAAGAGGGTATTTAGGGGCAAAGGAAATGAACCAGGGCCCCAAGATTCCCTCSTTTTCCCAGCTTTACTAGAAAGGTAGTGTGGATTTAGTGCCGAGGACATGCTGGTGTGTCTTTAATGAAAGTGAGGGATGATACTATCATGTCCAGGGGGTTGGGGAGGTTACATGGGCTTGTTTTTGATGTCTGTAACCCACTTTCGCCTTCATACACCCCCTCCTCCCCCTGAACCCCCACCCCAACGTACCTCCCTTTTCTGTCTGAGGGGTGTCTGATAAACAACTCCTCCAAAAGCCCCCTGGCAGGGCACACCCCTGCCCCCTTCTAAACCCCACCCCTCCTCATATTCACTATTGTAAATACATGGCCAGCAATCTCCCCCACGACCCCCCCTTTATTCAACTGGCGTAAACAGGGGGCCATTTGTAACTGTCAAGTGACGGCACATTGTCCGCACACACTCACAGGCGTGCATGCACAAACAGCCAGGCTTAATTAGCAACAGCAAGAAAAAAATAAAGGGTTTTCAGAGGTGAATCAATTATCAGGACATGAAAAAATGATCCAAAGGACAAGACATAAAAATGAGCTGAAGGGCAGAAGAAAGAGCAGGCACCGTTTTCCACGGCACGGTTAATGGATATGGTGATTTGTTTCACTTGCTATGCCTGTCCATGTCTGTGAGGTCCCCTTGAGATGATTTGTAACGCGCGTTAGCCATGTTCTTGAACCCAGTCTAGACAGGACACAAGGAGATGTAGGGGGTGAAATAGAGGAGACAACTGTTTTATTGAAAGCAATTATCCGTGAGCGTCTGTCATTGAATAAAGAACACGACTTTGGCTTTTATGAGGACAAGTTTTTTTTTCTTGACACAAGCAGGGACATATATCCTGGGAGGAGTAATGCAAAGAAAAATAATAACAGACTTGAGTTCTGACTCTCCTTTTGTCTTGGCCTCTCGTACTTTTTTAGCACCAACTTAACCCCGAARCAAATGGGGGCGTTTGGTTTCRGCACCTTCTCAACATCTAGAATAACGTTTGTTTTCCTTCTTTAYGATGGCTCAGTAACCTCTCTGGCTCTCTCAAATACTCCTCCCCCTTTCACAGTCTCGGGGCCTTAGCGCCTACGTAGCCCCACACTGAGAGCAGCTGTTTGGGAGCGGTCAGTGCGGAGTTATGCACCCTGTATTACCTCATCACCTGTTACACTAAGACTATCTGAAATCCTATCTTAACAGAYGCAGTAATGTGCGACTTGTACCATATAGCACAGAGTTTAAGACATAAATCTCAGCTGCCAAAGTCCATGCTTTTTTACGGTCTCTTCTCATCCTCTTGCTCTCTCTTTTYCACGGTTTCTCCAGGTGGCGGTGAAGGTAATTGACAAGCGGAAGGCCAGGAAAGACTCATACGTTATCAAGAACCTGCGGAGGGAGGGCCAAATTCAGCAGATGATCTGCCACCCGAACATCGCCCAGCTGCTGGACATCCTGGAGACGGACAACAGCTATTACCTGGTGATGGAGCTGTGTCCAGGCGGGAATCTCATGAACCGAATCTATGACCAGAAGTGCCTGGAGGAAAGGGAGACTCAAAAGTACATCCGGCAGCTGGTGCTGGCCGTCGAGCATCTGCACAAGCTCGGCGTGGTGCACAGGTGAACACAAACGAACAAACGTGTTTTCTGGCACTCCACATCACTGTCTTGTCCAAAACTGAGAAAGCCTCATGTTGTTTATAAGTCAAAGATCTCTGTCAGACATGACCCTCTTTGTTAAAGTGTGGATTAGGTCTATCCTGTGTGCAACAATGTACAGGAAAGGTCAGATGTACCATRTAATAACTGCTCAGTAACTGCATGGTCGTCATTCCGGGTTAACTTACGTTTAACCCAAACTTCACAAATCAATTTTTTWTATTTTCCTKGAGATATTAAAGCCTATTTTASTCAATGCCCAGGAAATTAATTTCTGTCAAGAYGTGATGAGATAAACATGTAACAGGATTACTTAGTCTTAGGAATGATCTGTAGACACAAAAGATAAAGAAAATCAATCAGCGCGAGCCACAAAGGCAGGGTTGTTTTAGTGTTGGGGTTAGCAGAGATGAGGGATTACATTGACCCTTCCTTTGCATTGTATAATGATGACAGCTTAACTAGGATATCCTAGACAAACCCTGACTGTACAAGCATTGAGAGCTTCTGTTTCTTCCTTTATCTTACAGAGATCTGAAGATAGAAAACCTTCTGTTGGATGAACAGGACAACATAAAGCTCATAGGTAAAAAGATCTTGAATGTTTATTTCATCCAATATTCTAAGTAAGTTAGTTCATAAATCAGTTATGTTTCAGTAAAAAACTATTCAGTTCCTTCACCTTGCTGTTGCTCAATAGATTTAAAGGTTAAAAGCAATAAAACCTCACAAGCTCTTCCTGTATATTTAATCTTTTCATTGTAATGAATTAACAGTAAAATAAAATAAGACAGACACTCATAACTCCTCTGCCCTTTTTCAGATTTCGGCCTCAGTAACGTTGCTTCCATCTTGGGATATTCGGACCCCTTCAGCACTCAGTGTGGCAGCCCGGCTTATGCTGCTCCCGAGCTGCTTTCCAGGAAGAACTATGGGCCAAAGGTGGATGTTTGGTCCATGTACGTTCACTACCTTCATTTTTTTAAAGAAACTTAACACATTTTTTTTAACTGGCTGCATAGCTTAATAATCAATTTGCATCTTTCAGTGGTGTAAACATGTACGCAATGCTGACTGGAACGCTCCCTTTCACGGTGGAGCCCTTCAACCTTCGAACACTGCACCAGAAAATGGTGGACAAGGAGATGAAGCCTCTGCCCCCTTCCCTCTCCACAGGTAAAAAATACRACTGCTGACTTTATTAACTTTAACGTTTGCTAAATCCTGAGAGAAGAGAAAAGCTGTATCTAAGAGTAATCTTTATAATGTCACAGATGAAAACAATTACCAGTAGATAAAAKTATCGCAAATCTATTTTGAGCGATCAGACTGCATGCTTGTTTATTAATTGCACTCTGTAAAAAATTCTTAAGAAAATCCACATTTCCATTGAAGCAAAAATATAGCAAAATGGGAACTGATTACACCAACGAAAACAAAGACCTTCCAGCAAAATTCCTGATGCAAGATCAATTCCATTTGTTTTYCAGTTGATTGAAGATTTTCTGAAGGATTGTGAAAAGAATTGTGGAAAACTTGTGATCTCATTATTAGTTGTGACACTCTTATGATGCTAGCTCCCTCTGCATGTCACAACAGACTTACCTGCTAATATGCAAACACAGATATGGCTTAACCCATTTAATAAGTACTTAGTGATTACAGTGATTACGCTGAGAAGTTATGTGTTGATCRGGAGAGACGTGGTGAGAGAAATTTGATTATAGGCAGCGATCGAGAAGTGATCATAAAACATGGAGCTAATATGTGGCAAACCAAAATGATTTATGAAACCTGTAATGACCTGTTTCACCTGAGTTTTTATCAGTGGCAGAAAGCCAATGAAAGCAATGTAAGATTTATTTTTCCCCTCTCTTGTCTCAGCTGCCATCTGTCTGCTGAAGAAGCTTCTAGAGCCAGACCCCAACAAGCGTCCAAATATTCATCAGGTGATGGCCGACTCCTGGCTGCAGCTGGCCAACAAGAACACAGGAACACCATACCTCAAAAGGTAACCTCAAAACCCTTCTGACAGTTTGTATCACCACAACTTTAACATACTTCAACATCAACTGTCTATCTTTTTTGTATTTAAGGATGCACATTGAAGAAGTGAACCACACAGTTTTAGTACATATGACAGAGAAAATGGGCTACAAGCATAGTGAAGTGCTCAGTGCCGTCCTCTGCAACCGTGCCTGCCACACTTTGACTGTCTACTACCTTCTCAAGAAGAAACTGAAGAGACTCTCCACAGAGTACAGGGTTAGTATGACTGCACCTTATTCCTGCCACATACCTAAAAGTAAAGTGCCATCACATGCTATTAAAAGACTGAACAGTATGTCTTCTGGAAGGATCATAAGGCTATAAAATAAAGTTGTATAACAGGTATAGCCCTTTAAAAAAATCTTTTGCACTTTATGTTGTAGGAATCACAGCTTCAGGAGAAAAAGAAAGGTGAAAAGGAGAATAACGAATACTTCCAGACCCAGTGGAGGAAGCACGTTTCCAAACTCACTATCCCCCCAAAACAGACGCCCATCTACCTGGCTGTTAGCAAGGGGGCCAACAAGGAAAAGAAACACAAAACAGGTAAAGATCCATTTCATTTGGTTAGAAAAGCTAACTTTTTCTTACAAATGCAGAACATTACATTTAATTCAAACACTTCCATTTGATTTATTTTATTGTTTTGTTTTGCCTTTTTTTTCCCCTCACATAGGGTAGGTAGACTGAGCATGCACGTTCTTGTACAGCAATGACCTGTCTCATACACATGTAGTTTCCCCGTCATCCTTTCAACCCTCCGTTCATCCATCCAACTACCCACTCATCCAACTGCCTGAGAGGAAACATCCTGGACAACTTAACAGTCAATTGTGGTGCAAAAACACAAACATTTTACAATAACCCTTAATAAGTTGTTATAGTCAAATTAAGTGATTCAGATAACTTTACACAGAAGCAAGTTTGAAATCTGGAATTAAGCCAAACTAAGATTTCCAATCAAAGAATCTGTCAAGTCACAGTCTTGAAAAACACACCTACAACAGACAAAACCCACAGGCAAAGCTGAAATGTATCTTTACAAGATACCGAGAAAGCCCCCTGGCTCTTTTTGAACCAGCAAGTTAAAATATGCTGGTATTTACGAGGTTAAACCTGGGGCGGATTGTTCTGTACACCTGTTTAGCACATATTGTCAAACTATTGACACAAAATCTTCACATGTAAGCCCCATGGCTAAAAGTACTAGTAGTTCCAGTTTCCCCCATTTTCATTCAGTTTTTTTACTGCACGATTCTCAAAAATTCTGAGTGTACTTTAAAAAAAAAWGAATCAACTAAAATGCACCATTTTCTTTTCAGGTCTATTAAGGTCAATAACTGTGGGGCATCGTAAATCACCTCTAGCACCACCTGGCACAGTTGCATCGTCCTCCATGGAATATCTGGAGATCCATCCTCTTTTTCCCAATGCTCCACAGCAACGAAGGCGCCTTGCCACCCTCCCACCAGTCAACACAAGTCCGGAACACAACATTCCTGCTCCTCCAGCACCGTCACCGATTGGCATGCATTCTTTTGGATCCCTTGCCAAAGCTGAACAAATTGAAGATGTGCCTTCTTCGCCCTGGTACAAGTTGACCAATGGTACACTGTCACCTCCACGCCACGTCTCGGCCTTCCAACCGGATTCATCTTACTTGAAAAAGGCCACAATCCCAAGTCCTCCTATTCTCATTGCTAACCCCCAGCCCAAGAAAGTCTTATCATCAGATATGTGTGGGTCATCGGACACCAGTGGTAGCCCTCCAAGTACCATAGGGAGCCCTCCAGGAAGCTCGGCTTTTAGCCCTCCAAAGTCTGCCTTTAGTCCTCTTAAGCCCATCTCAGCATTCAGTCCTCCCTCCAATAGCAGGAACAGTGATCCAGGGAGCCCAACACACCGCAGCAAATTCCCCTCTATGGGAATTGGACACATGCTGAAGAAGAAGGTCCAGCTGGATCCATTTGAATTCCGACCACAGCAATGTGTAGAGGAAGTTGTGTCCCCGCCTCCATACCCTCTGAAAACTCTCCTGTGTGCTTCAGGTGCACTTAAGACCCTCTGCTGAATGACACAAAAGAAAGAAGAAAAAAAGACTAAACTCAAGGTCCCTCTCAACAGTTTATTGAAGTTGGAGAGGTCTTCCAGAGTGGCCTTTTGAATTGTGAACTGTCCCTTTATTGCCGGACAACTTTTTATGACGCAATTTTTTGTAAAAAAAAAAAAAAGAAAGAAAAAAGGACAAAAGTGTAAAAATTGAACACGGTTTACCTCTTGTTATTACATGTTATGAAATGAGATTTGAAAGGGATTCCTGAGCAGTGACTAATTCTCACTGTGTCCTAAATACAGAGTTGACTGAGGACATCCTGTAATATCGGCCTTGCCAACTTATGTACACACACATGTAATATAGACCGAGTTAAAGGTACTCGCTTATGTAATTTTGCTGCAACTGGTTTCAGATTAAGCCGCAAACTGATTCACACCAGCTAACAGGCCCCAACTTCTACCCTAACCCTGACTATATGTGTAAATGTTTCGTCTTTGTGAAAACTCTGTATAATAGTCACTGACCTCCAGCCGGCTAGCACTGTATCCTAAACGCCGGCTAGGTGACAAAGCTCACTGCACTATCCTTGAAAACCAAAACTCTTAGGGACAGCTGTAATGATTTTTTACCTCACTGCATTAGTCGAGCATCACTGCTTAACAGGAGTCTAGTTTGGTGCGCTTGTGTGAATCGTGCCATAGCACTGCCATGTCTAAGTGTAGACATTAGAATTGCCACAATGAAGCAGAGGACCAAGAGTAGAGCCACATTCACACTTTATAAACATTAACTATCACTAGTACCTAACATTTTATACACAAAAATTCCACTTTATTTCAGACCCATGGAGAAACTCATACTGTAACAGTCTTAGTTATATATGGGTTTTTTTTCTCATAGAAGAACATTCCAGTTGACAGTCAGTTTTAAAGTTAGAAATATAAAAATAGAGCATCAAAAGCCTCAGAAGCCTTATGAAACCGATCCGCCTCGCCAAAAGGCTGAGGGGAATGAGAGTAAGAAGTGCTACTAGTGTCATATAACATCCCTGGAAATAAATGACTTCGTTTTTGTCTTAATGCTGTTAGCTTGTGCAATAGTCTTCTAAGTGTTAACTGCGCAATGATGAGTATTTGCCAAAAGCACTCTGCGAGTGTGAAGGAAATTGTTCTTGTAAATAAGTTTAACACTTCGTCACATCTGCCATTTTGTATGAAATGGAATTCAAAAAATGTTAATTGAGATGACTTTTTTGCGAAAAAAAAAGAGGCTTCCACATACGAGGCTTTTCGCTGTTAAATACTGTAGAATTTCTTCCTGTTGAAAGGAAAGCTTGCATGAGTCAAACTGTGCTGTCAACATTTTAAATTATGTCTTTTTGTAACTCTTTTCCTGTTTTTAACTGAGATTGATACAGACTCGGGGAGGTCTTTTGTACGATTTTGTAATGAATGGTTTTGCTTTTTGATTGTTCAGAGATTTCTATGCTGTATAAAGTATTTTAAATATTTATAATGAATTTTTTGTGTCTGTCTGGTYTTTCAAATGGCATCAGCTGGCTGTTTCTCTTGCACATCATGAGGACAGTCACTTATTAGCGACATTTCTAAAATATAGTGTGAAATAATCCACTTCAGTTCACAGAATCCAGCAGTTTTATTAATTCAAGTGCAAATTATATAGCCTGAGGTCTATCATTTATTCCTTAATGCTTTCAGCTGCTGRAGGACTTAATGAGGTTTTGGCTTCAGCGCTGAGGGAGGATCCATATCACTTTRCAACTAAAACGTGCCACTTGTCCCACATGCCATAAACATTTCCCACGGGACACCTCTGGTGGTTAAAGAAACCCACCACTCCTTTTCAACAGCTGAAGGACTCTTAAGACTGACACACACATACTAGAACCACTCCCTTTTTAGCAACACACACTGCAGACACTAATCTACTCAGCTGTGACTCCCCCAGCCACATAATAAACATCTTTGGGTGACACTGGCATGTCGAGACAAAGAGGTGGGGTGGGGGGGTTCAAACGCATGCACGGGATGACAAAAACAGGCATGTCAGATTAAATCTGCGTAGCTAAGCTGATAAAAGCGTAGGGGCAAACGTGGCCCTAAAATGTATTAAAGCCAGAGCCTTTTGTTTATCAAAGACAAGGTGGACTGCTGGTCAAAATCCCTCATAGGTCTAATGTCACAAACAGGCTGCARTCATAAATACTCCAGTTAAAAGGACATATACAGGGAGAACCGTACATGTAATGTCACACCTGTCTAATCCCATCCACTGATATGGAGTTTTATCCAAACACTTCCTCCCTAAGTGGACGTACTTTAAGAAAGTCATAATGATTTGTAATGCTGCTTTGGTAACAATTGGGACACAAAAATTTGACATATCAGTCTGTCGGCTCTTTTAGTGTAAAAATAAAGACCTATGTTATCTTTTAATGTGTTGCCCAACCAACCACTTACTGTCCAGCAGGACTTTACTTCTGTCAATCTGTTCAGGCTTAGATCCTGATGACACTAATCTTGTTTTCAGCCCCCTCCTCGTCACATACTGTATACACACACACAAGCTCTCACCAGGGTGTCGCTGGCAGTGGGGCGAAGGCTTTGTGTCTGAGAAAAACAGAAGATTAACCTGCAGCACGGTGACGACTGCAGGGGATGCTCTCACGCACAAACAACCTGAGCAACCGGGGTCAGCCTCGTGGAGCCGCGGAGCTGTCTTTCCCTTAACAGCTCTCTCACGGGCTGAGGATGAGGAGTGGTCAGCTACCTGGCAGCTTTTGTTGCAAACAAAGACGCGGGGGTAAAATAAACAAGCAGATGTTTCTAACAAAGTAGGGGGCACTCAAAGGGGATTTGGGTTATTCAGTCAGACTGACTGGTCAACGTTGCATTCAATCAATCACAGACACAGATGAAGGTGATTAATGAAAAAAGAAGGCTGAGGCTCATCACCGACTTTAGAGTTTCAACAGTTCAGTTTTTCCCCAGATTTAARACCTCGTAACATTGATTCCACTGATTAATTTGGGGAAATCCGAGACTCCAGATGTACGAGTTAGAGAACAAGCTGTTTAGTCAGTGAGATACAAACATTACACTAGACAGGTTTAAAAAGTTTAGGCACAAACAAGTGTTGAACAACCAATCATGTAATTAAACACACTCAAATTCAGCCAAGCCAATTCTGTTTACCAGTCTTCCACATTCCTACCCTCACATAAAAGCTACCACAAATTTTGGGTAGTGACCGAGAGAACAAGAACTCAGACAAAAGCTGTCAAACTCAGTTTTCTCTACAGGGTAGCCAGACTCTCCCTTAGAGCTAGGGTGAGAAGCTCAGCTTTCCGGAAAGAGCCGGTGCTCTTCCACGTCGAGAGCTGCCAGTTGAGGTGGTCTGGAAATCTAATGCCTTCTGGACATCTCCCTAGGGAGGTGCTATAGGCATGTCCGACTGGGAGGAGACCTAGAGGACCCAGGACATGCTGGAGAGGCAATGGTCGTGTCTGAATTCAGGGGTTGCAGCCGACATAGGGCACATTTGTCGTCCAGTGACGTCACTGCGCCACAACGCAGGCTGTCCCTACTCATGCGGCCGATGAATGCAGTCAACAAAATCCCGAAAATGTAGGCTGCATCTGAGTATCCTACGCAACCGACAATATCCCAGGACTCATTGAGCCATCAGCAAATTAAACAAAAGAAATGAAGACAGCTGAGATTTTTCTTCCTTTTTTTGTGGCAGAGTTTGAAAACTTAAATCAAACTGAAGGTTTTGTTTTTAAATGTATGTTTAGCAACTTAGCTGATGGAATTTATTCTGCAACGAGATGTTAAATAAAATGCAATACAAGTACCGATACTGGAGCTAAACCCAAATGACTATGTATTTAYGTTTAAGGTTTTTGAAGACTGAATCTTGTGAAGTTATACATTGAAAAGACAACAGAAGGCATGTGATATAAAACATAACGCCAACGGTAAAAGGGCAGTGCGTGGTCACACAAATATAGTCATTTATAGRCTAGACCTTCTCATTTCACAGCTGTTTATGCAGCCTACACAGGCGGCCTACGGCCAACATAGGGTGTGGTCTATATGGGCTGCAACCCCTTAATTGAGACAGYTTATCTCTCTTGTTTGGCTYGGGAACGCCTTGGAACCACTGGAAGAAGTGGCTGAGGAGGGGTCTGGGCCTCCCTGCTTAAGCAGTAGATAATGGTTGGTTTAATGGAATTCAGCAAAGTTAAAAYAAGACAATAACTAGATCATTTACATATCTTCGAATTAATGTTTTTTTTCCAATAGAAATGAGGATCAAATACTGTATATTTATAAGTGTAATGGGTTTGCAATATGCCTAAACAGCAAGTGCAAAAAAAGAAAAAAGAAGTCAAAAAGAGGTTAAGCAAGGATAAGGATAGAGTTAAAACAGGAACTGGTCATTAGTGTTATAAGGAACTGGTAAGTAGTTAACTCTTTGTCATGAGAAACCTAACTAAGCACAGAAAACAGAACATTTGACTAAATAATCAAAGCTAATGTTAATCAAATAWCTAAATGCTAAACACATGCATCACAGCCTTTACTTTTTCCACTTCAGTTTGGAACAAAACATTAAACCTAAGTTTTATCACCYCACTAAAACAGAATTATCATTCTCACCCAGTGGTTATTTTAATAGTATGAGGAAAAAAAAAACATTTCCTAACTTGGCACACACAGGTGGCACTCCTTGAGATGTTTTTTCCTCTCGAAAACAAGATCAGAAATTCAATCAAAGAGCAGAGCAGCCAATCGGATCTCAGTGTCTGTGTCAGCAGCAGCATCACTCTTTGCTGCCATTGGCCCGTTGCTTCACACAGGAGAGGTTGTAATTGGCTGCCAGCGTGCCGAGGCTTCATTGCCTCCATGGCAACATTGCTTCCTTATTGCTTAGGGAAGGTGAAAAGGAGGGAACAAGGGGAGGCGACTTTCACTCAGACACCACGGCTGCATTATTTATTCTTTGTCCCAGAGTGCTTGTCGAGTCCATGTAGACGTACTGACTGATGCGTGTGTCTAATTTGGTCTGGGTGGCAATGATTGGTTGAGACTTTGGGGCTGAATAAGGAGACGCCGGTGCAATTATTGCAGCAAACAGTGCAATGCCTGTATATAAAACTGTCTAAATGTGCTCAGGTCCCATTTGGTGAGAGGTGCTGAAACAGCTTTTAGTTTTTATTTGTCTGAACACAAAAAAACAAATGAGGAGTGTATGATCGTGTTTGTTTGTTTACAAAGTCAAACAGAGCACATCTGGACTTTCAGCTGGCATCGATTACCTCAGGATGCACAAAGGAATCATCCCACAGCGAGAGGCGGACCTCTCCACACCAGCAGGAACAACAAGAGCCACGCGGTTTGTTTGTTGTTGTTTGGATTTGTTTTTCCCCCACAACAGCTGAGGGTGGGGCAAACTGTAGAGAGGGGGGCGGGGAAAGAGACAAGGGGCGGAGTCAGAGCGGGAGAAAAACATCACACGCAGGGATTAGAGTCGGGAAGGGTTCACACAGGACCACTCCCATTTGTCTGTGGCATGAGCGGGGAGGAGGTGGGTGTGTGTGTGTGTGTGGTGGTGAGGGGGGGGGGGGGTCTGCGAACGCGATGACGAGATGGCAACAGACAACCAGCATAGCACGTGCTCTCAGTTGCCATCGCAACCTGGCCTCAGATACAGCGTGCTGGTTGGCCATTTCTTCCTGTTGTTGTTCTGGGAGGCTGATGAAACCTCGTGGATGAGGGAGGGCAGGCGGTACAGCGTGGAGCTGCTTTTCTCTGCTTTGGTAGAAAGTGTTGCTAGGCACATTACAGGTCAGCTAGTAAACAAACAATTGGRCATTAATACACAATCATCTCCTAAGAAACTTGTTTAAACCCTCAAATCCAAAAAGAAACTTCTACCAAACAAAGCAGGATGAGCCGCTGATCCTCAGCAATCTTAGGGACAAAAAGACATATTTCAAAAGATTATATTCATCATGTTTTAATTTGTCATGTCAAATTGACACTAATGAATTATAAAAAAATATCATAAACGATGGAAACAGTTTAGCACTTTATTACACAAAAATGCTTGAAATAAACAAAAACAAAGCAACAGAGTGCTAAAAAGAACACAATGGAAGCTTGTGACAAAAACAAATAAAATCCCAGGTAATTCTTAGAAGTAAAGTTATCTAGAAATGCGCCTATCTCTAAGTGAATTAATTAAAAATATATTTTTTACTGTTTTAACACAAATTCTTCAAATATCAGATCTCGAGGTAATAAGACATTTGGAGGTAAATATTTGATACGTTTCTGTAAACCACATGCTAAACATTTAACAAAAAGAACAAAGAAAAAGTATGTGTGTGGCCTGAGGTGGGCAGATCAATACTGCATTGTGCTGAGTGCGCAGCTTGGTTGATGAGATCCTGAACAAATAAAACATTCTGCTCATGGCGCTCATTTCATTCCGAATAGAGAGCTGGAGAGACGACGGCACCACGAGCGCCGAGCTGGCAACATGATTGATCACAAGCACGGGCAGTCTTTGTTTCACTGCTGGTAATCAGGACAAAGCCCAGTGGTTGCTGTGAAGTGAAGGTGTGTGTGTGTGTGTGTGTGTGTGTGTGTGTGTGTGTGTGTGTGNGTCTTTGTTTCACTGCTGGTAATCAGGACAAAGCCCAGTGGTTGCTGTGAACTGAAGGAGTGTGTGTGTGTGTGTGTGTGTGTGTGTGTGTGTGTAGAAGGTGAAACTGGGACAAAATGTTCAGTTTTGAAAAATGTTGTGACACTTTAGGAAAGAAGTAAAGTAAGGTAAGGGCAAGGAGTCCAGATTTAAAATCCACACAGCAGCACCTTTTCTTTGCCGAGTTTAATGTCCACCGTCRTTGTTGCTTTCCTCCTGAAGGCCGGTTTCGATCTCCTCCAGCCGCAGCGCCATGGACATGACGAGCATTTTCATCTGGAAGGGTCAGGGTCAGGGATAGAGACAAGAGGCACGTTTTGAGATGGGAAGATTGAACGGTGAGAAAAAAATTTTAAGTTATGCAGCGAAGGGAAAAAACGATGACAGAGGGAAACRAATGAAGGGGAAAACAGACAGGTGGGAAATGAAGGCGGCAACAAATAGAGGAAGAAGGCAGAGAGGAGTGAAGAGGAATGGAGAGGAGAGGAACAAAAAAAGAAGAGAAGATGTTTGAGGATAAGTGGTTAGATGTGGGGTGGTGGAAGAGGGAAACAGTTCAGTGAGTGCAGATGCCGAAAATAATAAAAAAAACTAAACATTTAGGTGTCTAGAAGTCCATCAATGACGCATCAGTCATCAGGTACAGAACAAACRAATAACATAATGCACTCACAGAAATACAGCCACCTTTTAATAGATACTAATAACTAAAGAACACTTTTTTTACTGACTCACAAATGTGGTTTTTGACAAAAAAGGGTCATATCTGCCTTATTACAGCTTAAATCATTTGTTATGTTAAGGATTTCTGAATCCTTTTTTTTTTTGGATAAAATAACAAAAGTGCAAACTGATTACCGCAAGTTCCATTCATATGTTGGCTCACGAATATTTTGTAAAAGAAAGAAAAAGCTCATATGTAGAATCACTTTTTATTTTGAAGTCAGATCTGAAAATTAGCATTTATTAAAAGTAAATCAGAGGCGTCGTCATTAAAATTTGCTCACGGCAGATTTATCACAAGCATATGCTGCAAACTTTTAACCATGTTTCTGATAAATATGACTTATTAGTTTTATTTATTTCAATAAATACTGCACTTTTTAAATTATATTTTATTTTTCTTAATAGATTCTTTTTTTATTGTTTGTTTGCTATATTTTGCATAAAATGATTCTGTATATTGTTCAAAATAAACTAAACATTTCAAATCTTATCACGACTATCACATGCTGTCTTAAACAAAATTTCACTTTTTGCTCTTGACTGAGAAGTGTTGTGACTGAGTGAAACACTGAATAAATCTGAAATTAGACAAAAGTTAACTTATTTTTAATACATTTGCATTACATTGATTTAATCTAACTGCCGTAATTCACTGCCTGAAGAAAAAGCCCACAGGGTTTCAATTTGAGTAACTTCATCTGACACAAATATGAAGCAATCATTTCAACAGTTAAGACTTTCGTAGTGTATTCCTGCTCCAAAGGGCAAAAAAAAACTCTTCAGAAAAACTCATTTTACAACTGTGTCTGCACCACTGCAAATCAGTGCTCTGTTCRTTGGGATCTTAGAGAGCACTTGTTTGAATTTATTAACTCAGTCATGCGCCTACTGCTGCAGCGTTTCCTCCCGTCATCAGGCCTCAACATGAATCTCAGCGTACGAACTGTTGGGACTAGCCGAGGCACAGGTGTTCAGCCCCACAGCGTTAACTCAGGGGTCTACAGGTCTGAACTGCAGGTTTAGAGGTTGTGATAAAAACGGCTGGTTTTTGTCAACTGTCTTATTAAAAATAAAATAAAAGATGAAGGTGAGAACTGTGAGCTATTTCTCACCAGGAATTCAACAGATTTTGCGTCCTTGTGGACTCCCCCGAGCGATAAATGATCCAACTGTGGACAGCATTAATCTTCTCACGAGGTGTGACCTTAAAACTGGCGTCTTGTTTTTTCTTTTTCGTTCTTCTGCTCTTGAATTGACTCAGTCTTTGTTACCTGATGGATTGTAGGCCTCTTTGAAATGGAGTTTAATCACTGCACACGGTCACAAAATACCTGGCGGACCCTCACACTTTCACAGGAGATGGAATTTACAAACCGTGAATTTCATCAGATCACCACTCTGGGAGCTCATTTCTGACAACGCAAAGCTCAGAAAGAAGTTTTTATTGATACTAAAGACGGACTAAAATCTGATCTAAAAATATTGACCTAAATTAGGAAGACATTTGAAACTAATCCCTCACGTCAACTCGACGCCTGCACCTGGCTGTGATTGTGATACTCAAACTTGGGATATTTTCTCGTTCTGCTGGACTAACCGGCTACAACACGCCAAAACGCTCAGTGGCAAGTTCTCTCGTCGCCGTCTATTAACGTATACATCGAGCTGGATCACATGCTGGGAGCTGAGCTTTTCTGTCGACAACCCATTATTGAGGCGAGCTGCAACCAGCGCTCGCATAAAACGGCTTTATGAATAATTTAACACTTTGCGGATCGTATAAGTGAGCTTGTGAGCCACCTGTTGACCATCACGGAGCTTTAACCACAAACAGAACTACAATTAGTTTTGCTGCTACAAAAARCCTTGTGCATTTCCATGCATGTTTTTGAAATGAGTGATTCTACTTTTGATTTTGTTCTGAATAATTAAAATGGGATCAGCTTTTGGATGTCTGACAATTTAGCAAATTAGATAATACAATTTGCACACAATAAATGGAACAATATAATCCTGTTTGAGACCACCACGGGCTAACAAGTGATTATTATAAAACTAATCAAATTAATGCAATTTATGCATAGCTTTAGTTTGAATAATTAATCACACAGACAAAAACAACTGGCTAGATTTTGGTAGTAACTACAATTTAACCCAAAACAATGTGTCTTTGTCCCGACGTTTAATTAATCTGCGTTCCTATAAATCTTTTTGCTCAAGCAACAAATGGTACTGTAATACTCCTGGACATGACAGTTTTATTGTGCAAGATGAACTCACGAGTCTTTCTAATTTGTTTGTTTAGATGGAACAAAGATAAGTTTTTCTTTTAAACGRCAATCCGTCAAAGTCAAAGACAGAAAGCTGACATGGGCTTTAATTAAAGTCTCCTTCCAGACTTAAAAGTACACGATCTGTCGCTCAAACAATCTCTTTTGTGTGCTCTTGTTTTGAAAGCAGAACAACCTGTTTTTTTATTTTATTTACCTGTTTAATAGATAAGAATCTAACCATTGAAATAGCTCATTTTTTCAGGTGACGGAAATGTAAAGGAAAGAAGCCAAATCAAACAAAACACCAGACATGTTGAGAAACAGCAATAAAGATATTTCACAGTGATTAAGAAAATAAATGTGTTTTCAGTCAAACAGAAAACTACAAGGCATTGTTCAAAGTTGCAACCAACAATTTCCACAATGGTTCAAACATAAAGAGCCAAGGAAAGCTAAATATTAGATTGACAGTGAGTTCGAGCATAAAGACATTTCGTGTCAAGAACAGGTTTTCCCTCCAACAAAGATTCCTCAACATGCACCCATGACCCATAGCATGAGCGATAGGTACTCCTGCACACCATCGCCACCTACTGGACAATCGGTGCCATTTCCCCCGCTAAACAAAGAGCAATTAAGATAATTTAGTCACCACTAAACAAATCAATTTGAAAGTCTGAGWAGAGAAAGGGATTAAAAACAAACAGGTTTGACACTAATAATAGAAAGTGATTTAAAACTAACGTATCCACATAACTATAAAAATGAATATGGTGTGGATAAAAAAAACACAGTATGATTTTGTTTTGATTTATGACGATAACTTTAAAAAAATGAACAAGTAGGGAGGAAACGTTGGTAGACAGATGAGGTAATGTCTGATACAAAAAAATAAATAAATAAAAAAAGTCTGCCCGCCACAGCAGCATGGGTTTACCAGAACCAAGCTGATGTCATCCTGATGCTGGTACAACCTGTGCATTTAGAAAGCTCTGAGAGCAACACAATGCAAATCAGAGGAGGATGACTCGTGCTGAAGCTGGTAGAATTTGTGGATCAGATTTTTAATATAATGCTGTTTTATTCTAAAAAAAAAGTATAATTATAGAAACTTAACTGTTCATGAAGATACAATCTAAAATCTGATATATAAAGATAAACCTCTGTTTAAGACTTTCAAGCGCTGCATTTTATTTTGGGCTGAACACAAAAACAGTCTGTTCATTTTGTTTGACCACATTTTACCTTCTGGCAAGACCACCTGAGAGAAGGCAGACAAAGGAAAGTGGCAGCAGTGATTTACCTCAGCGAGCTGTTGTTCAACCATGCCTCTGTACTCCAGTGTGACGGGCTGCTCTTTGGGGACCTCTGCTGACAACGTCTGGTTTGCAGAGCCGAGCACGTAGCTGAAAAATAAAAACGGTCCCAAAGAAAGAAAACAGGTAAAATAAGCACGTGTTAAACAACATAACATAATTTCTGTTAAATAAATCTATTATGTCTTTTCTTTTTTTATTTTGACTGTTTAATTTATACTAATTATCTCATCACATGACCAGTGTATTTTAAAATAAATACAATATAATCTGACTTTTTTTAATTCACACATTTGTAATAAATGTAGAAATGTATTATGAGTAAGGAAAAAAATATTCTTATGCAATTCTACAGTTTTATTTGCTAAAAGGGTTCAGTGTTTAAATTGTAATATAAATAAATAAATAAAACGCAGCAATTTTTAAACTAAATAATCTTTTTTATTGAAAGCATAATAAATATTTAGGAACATCTCAAACAGAATGAATATCACCCGTTACTTGAATGCTAACATTTTGAATTAAACGTGCACAATTTTTAGTGCTTGAAGTGGGAGATCAAGATGGTTCTCAGCTACTACTACGCCACATTTTAGCTCAATAAAACGGTTACGTTATAGCCTCATTTGTGTTTGCTAAGACTGATTAGCTGTGGAAGCCATTTGTTAATCAGCTATAGTTGTTCTCCTGACTATTTTCAGAGAGATTTACTAAAATCTGTCCAGAATTTCATGAGATATTTTGCTAACAGACAAAAAAGCACATTATGCACATTAACAGACAATTACGACAAAATTATACATGCAAAAAAAAGCTAAACTATTCAAATTTTGTGGAAATATAAGGTGTTTATTTTTGCGATCTATACATCTATACATTCGGTTTTTAATTTATATTTATCACACGGTTCTAATTTTTTGAGCAACAAAATTGTCAATTATTCTTAAGCTGTGAAAAGGGGACATTTTTTACACATCAGCTCTAACAACTGAGCAGGGGTGTAAGAAAATATCGATACACTGAAATATCGCGATATTTCATTTCACGATACTGTATCGATATTCGAAAGCCCTGTATCGATTTTTTTTTAATTAAGGTTTAAAATGTCAACTTTCTTTCCAGCCGTTCATTTTTATGTTGTAGTTCAGCCTCTGGACCACTAG